ACCTGTGAGTCGTCACTTCATGTCCGTCATGTTACATCTTAGGGTGTCATGTCAAACATGTTCTTGTTGTTCTCTCTTTTGTTGGTGCTAAGTTACATGGTCATGTCATGACTGTGCAACAAGATTATGTACCTCAGTGCACAAGAGTTCTCGTCTTACATGTTCATACCAGCACTTATGTACATGTTCATATCAACACTTATGTACATGTTCATACTAACACATGTTCTTATCTTTCTGATCTTCATCTTCGGCTCTTCTCAGATCCTCGTCGTGGAGGGCTTGACGGCTTTATCCCTCCTGGGCATGCCACGTCATCTAATCCTCATCAACTTCCTCTGGAAAGTTTTGAGAGTTTCCTTCCTGGTCAGGGCAAAACCTTCTTCCCCTATTCCTCACTACTGCCCCCCCCCCTTCCCCCCCCCCTCCCTCCTTCTTCCTCTCTTCCTCCCTCCATTCCTCCCTTCTTGCTCCTCAACCTCCACCAGCTTCCCCTCCCTTCCCTGATCTCTGCTTGTCCTATGAAACTCTATTCCGCTGATACTCCTTGCAGGTCCTCCTTGCGCTAAAGCTCGATGGCACTAAGATCGGATGGTCCGTCCTTGCTCCCCCCCACACCTCTCCCCTTCTCTCCTCCCCTCGCATCTCCTCCTCTCCTCTCCCGTCCCGTCTCCTGCCCTCCCCGCTCTTCTGCTCTCCCCTAACCCCCCCGCCCCCCTCCCCTTCCCTTCCTCATCCCATCAACGTCGCATGCTCCATCTCATTCAGTCGCTCCAGGTTTTTTGTCCTCTGCCCGCTGCTCGTCTGGTCGGGACTTTCCATCATCCTCATGCTCAAGGACGTTATCGAGCATCGCCGGCTCAAGACGAAGAGCAAGAACAAGGTCAACAACCTGCTTCCTGCTCCCCCTTTCCTTTCCTTCTCTCCCTCCTCTCCCTCCCTCACTCTACCCTCCTCTCCCTCCCTCACTCTACCTGCAGGACGTGACCTTGGAAGAGGAAGCGAGTAGATACGCTCCTTTCTTCTTCGCTCTTCGCGCCACCCTCGCCCTCGGACTCCTGTATGACCCTCCTCCTCTCTGCTCCCTACCCCTTCTCCTTCCTACGCCACTTTTCCCTCCCTCCCTCCTATGTTCCTCTTCCCCTTCCTCCCCTCCTCCTCTCCTATGTTCCTCTTCCCCTTCCTCCCCTCCTCCTCTTCGCTCCTTCCCTCCCGTCCCCATCGTACCCTTCCTTTCCCTCTCCTCTCCTCCTGTCTTTGTCCTCCCCCCTCCACTCCTCCGCTTCCCATCCTCCCTCTCGCATCCCTCTCGCGTTCCCTCCCACCCGTTCTCCTCCTCCACTTCCCTCCCCTCTCCCCCCTCCTCTCCCTTCTCCTCTCCTTCCTCCCCGTCTCTCAACCTTCTGCAGGATTTCAGTTCTCCTGCTGTGCCTTAGGATGTGCCTGCACTGGATCCTCTCATTCACCATCATCGTCATCCCCCTTATCCTCAGCATCGTCATCGCCTATCTCATGATCTGCTGGGCCATGCTCCTGTTTCGCCCTAAGGAGGTGAGGGAGGGAGGGAGGGAGAGAGAAGAGGAGGGGGAGGAGACGGAGAAGGGAGGGTGGGAGGAGGAGATGGCACAGAACAAGGAAATGGGATGGGGAGGGAGGGAGGGAGGGAGGGAGGGAGGGAGGGAGGGAGGGAGGGAGGGTGAGGCGAGTTGGTGGGGGAAAAGTGAAGAGGAGGAGGAGGGGGAGCAGCAGCAGCAGCAGCAGCAGCAGAGAAAGGATTGCATTCCTCGCTATTCTAACTTTGATCTCTCAGCTGGGCGAGTATGAGCAGTTCTCCAACCAAGACAGCCCATACGGGACGTTCGAAGGTGACGCGTGTCAGACCTGATTGAACACTTGACACTCGTCTGAGCACAGAAGGAAGCTCCTACACTTAGATGAGCGAGGAAGAGATGTCAAGCGACAAGACAAGACAAGACAAGACAAGACAAGACAAGACAAGACAGGATACAGCAACACCAAGGGAGCGGCTAAGACGGCATCGTAACGCGGAGGCATCCTTGCAACTGGAGCAGCCAGCGAGCAAGTGGCGATCTTTGCTTGTCCTGTCAAGTGCCCTGATCGAACTCATGAGGACGGTGGTGAGGTAGAAAGAGCAGCAGCCGAGCAAGCGAGCTTCCTGTTATTCATTTCAACGTGCGGGGTTTAAAAATCATTCTGCCGCAAGATCGATGAGAGAGAAAGTTATCTCTCTGTTGCCTTCTCTTTCTCTCTGTCGAATCTCTGTATCTTCAAGAATCTTCCTCTGCATCTGACCATCAACATCGTTCTCTTCTATTCCTTCTTCACCACCTTAACAATTTTACACTTCCTCCACTCCTACTCCCCTCTGCCCGCCCCTTCTCCTCCCCCTCCCCTCCTCAGCATCTCATCAGAACACAGGAAACTCGTAGTTCCTCGTCTTCGTCTTGTCTGCTGTGAGTGTTCCCTGCCGTTGTACATCGTAAACTCTCCCCGTCGCAACGTACGCCATGGCTGGGTCGTCGTTGAGCCCGATGATCTCGTTCCCGTCGCTTCCATCCCTCACATCGGCATACACAGCTCCTGACCCGTCAGCCTCCTCTGGATCATCAACAGGAGCAACAGGAGCATCGGAGACAAGATCGTCGTCCTCCGCATCTCCAGGGAACGAGGCGTCGAGCACGGTCCCCATGAGCCCTCTCTGCCGCAACATCCCAGCACGGGCCGCTCTGCTCGGTGCATGGTTGACGCTGGCGACGCTGCTGTAGCTGCTCGTGTCTGTGATCATCATCAGCATCATCGCCGACAGCATCAGCATCGTCGCCGCCATCATCGTCGTCGTCATCCTCCTCGCCGCCGTACCTAGCACTGCCTGCTGCATCGTTCCCCAAGAGGCAGGTCACCACCCTACCCCCTAGTAATAACGAAATTGAACCCTACCCCCTTCTCGCCCCGCTGGGAAAAAAAAATGAAAACCAAGAAGTAGAGTTGAGTAGAGGTAGCAAGGAAGCGAGAGGAGAGGAGAAGAGGGAGGAGGAGGAGGAGGAGGAGGAGGAGGAGGAGGAGGAGGAGGAGGAGGATGATAATGATGATGGTGATGATGATGATGAGGAGGAGGAGGAGGACACGGGGATATTGACGGCATTATCAGTTCGTTGGCGGACAAGTCAAGGAGGGTCTTCACACCGTCGACAAATTTTCGCGAAATCGTGGAGAGCAGCGAGACGGTAAAGATCAGAAGCATGTTGAAAACACCACATCAATCTAGAATCTTGTGAACCAACAGAACAGCGTGACCTGTAGAGCTTCTGAGATTTTAAGATGCAAACTAGAAGTTACAATTGTCTGAGACAACTTCTAGTATGCATGAGACAATGCTTTCCATCGGAACATCAGAGGACAACATCGCTCGTCTTCCTGCTCAAGTTTCCTCTCTCCTCATGGGCACTTGACCGCTGACTTCTCGATGAGAGCTGCTAGCACAAGGGGCAGGGCGAGACTAGCACAAGCTGTCGACGGGAACCGTCATGTGCTCTGGTATGATCTGACCGTTGTGCAACTTGACTGGCGACACCTGAGGAGGGGATGAGACTGGCAGCAGGCGGAGGGAGAAAGGAGCACCAGACGGTACTGAAAGTTCGCGTCCCTCCTGAGCTCCCAGACCTCGCAGTTGGAAGGGTTTCGGACCTGAGGGAGAGGAGGATGAGGTGGAGGAGAGGAAAGTGAGTGGTAAGGAAGAGGATGAGGAGGAGGAGAGGGAGATGGCGGGGGGGAAGGCGGAGGAGGCGAGGGAGGAGGAAGAGGCGGAAGAGGAGGAGAGGGAGGAGGAGGAGGGGCGGAGGAGCAGGAGCAGGACAGCGAGAACAAGTGAGAGAAGGGATTGGGGGGATGAGGGTTGGGAGACAGAACAGGAGGTTACCTGACTAAACTCCTCCACCGACCACTTGAAGTAGTACTGCCAGAGCATGTGATCATATGAGAGGAGAAGAGGGAGGAGGAGGGGAGGGCGGGAGAGCGAAGATGAAATGAATAGGATGAAGAAGACATTAGTGAAGTGGTGACCAAAGGATGAACAAGGGCGAAGGTAAAGGAGGAAAAGGAAATGGACGGGGAGGAGGCAAAGGAGGAGGAAGGGCGGGAGGGCGAGAGGAAGGGCGGGCAGGCGGGAGGAAGGGCGGGAGGCGGGTCGGCCGGCCGGCCGGCCGGCAGGGAGCTCCATACCATGCAGAAGAGCCTCATGGTGATTCCATGGGTAACGATGACATAGTTGGGATATCGATACCTCGCCATGTCGCGGAAGACAGAAGCCCACCAGCCCGAGATCCTGCCGGGCGTCTCAGGAGGAGGAGGATAGATGAGGGAGCAGGAGGAGGAGGATAGATGAGAGAGCAGGAGCAGAAGGAGGATGGAGGAGAATGGATGAGGAGGAGAAGAGGGAGGAGGAGCAGGATGGAGGAGAATGGATGAGGAGGAGGAGGGAGGGACGAGGAGAAGGAAGGAGGCAGATGACTTTCAGTCGCACCTATCCCACACGTCCCCCCCTGACTCTCCGTGCTCGAATCGATACCTGAAGGAAAGGCGTCAAGGAGGATTGAAGAAATCAGCTTCCGGTGCTCACCAGAACGGCCCGTAGGTCTGGCGATCCTGGAGAGACTTCTGCATCTGTTGAGGATGCGAAGTAAGAAGAGAGGGAGGAAGAGGAGGAACAGGAAAGCGTCAGCGAGAGCAAGAACAAGAGCAGGAGCAGGAGCAGGAGCAGGAGCAGGAGCAGGAGCAGGAGCAGGAGCAGGAGCAGGAGCAGGAGCAGAAGAAGCAAATCTGTTGGCAACGTGTGTCTTCTCCTCACAGGCAACTCACATGCAGGAGATCCTGGTAGTTGCCAAAGTCCTGCTCCCTCAGCCTGGCGTCCTCCCGGACCTTGTACATGGCAGAGCGGGGCCAAACGTACACGTCGTTGTAAGAGGAGAAGAGGCTCTGCAGAGAGTTGGAGCGGCAGCGGAGATAGCACCTACAGGTGCGGCGAGTCAGCTGCATCCTCGGAAAGGTAGCGCAGCATGGTACTAACGTGCTCGCTCCTCTGTCCTCTGACGACAGTTTGCCCAGTTCCCCCCCGCAGTCTTCCTCGCCGCCATCGTCCACCGAAAGCCCAGCAGCCCTCCCGGCAGGGTTGCAGTTCATGCGATGGAAGTCGCTGATGCACTGGTTCTGGTTCTCAGACTGCGAGCCTGCGGCCTCGGGCGTCACAGGCGGGGAGAAGCTGGGAAAGTGCGTCCCTACCTCCCTTCCTGCTCGCCGCGCTGCAGTTGCACTCGGTCTCGATGTCTATGAAGCAACTGATGATCTCCTGCTGGGCCCGTCAGGCACAGCAGCAGCCGTCGCCTCCTTGCCTTCAAGGTTTCTCGAGTCCGACGGTACGGGGACACTTGGAAGTAGACGGCCTCGTCGCCGATGATGGACTTGAGGAGCATGCCTTGGGCAACGTCTGGTTGGCAACAAGAACCCGTGGGGAAGAAGGAAGGGATACCTGCTTCTCTCGCCTGCCTCCTCCCCTTCTCTGTGAGCGAATGCTCGTTGTCCGGTTTGCATTCGAACAAGGACTTGTCAACATTCCCTTCACTCTGCCAGCAATCTACTCAACAGCATCCCTCCTCCCTGCGCCCGCGCTCTCACCTCCCCGTGCCTGACGACGAAGATGCGCTTCGGACGGCACCTCCGCTCGTACCTCTTCGCCAGCCGCACAATCTTATTTCCTCGTCAGATCCAACCTTCCTCTCCCACACCCTCCATCACCGAGAAGCACAGGAACTCCTTCAAGTGCTCGAGTCGTCCCGACAGCATCAGCCTCTCAGCTGCAGATCATCTCAGGACAGCATCATGAAAAGAGCGGCTGCTGTACCCAGGTACGAGGCGAACAGTACCCCAACCCCAGCAACCACCGCATGCCGCGCCCATTGCACTCCGATCTTGGAGCATGCAGAGATCATTCGAGGGCTGGCAATCTATCCCAGCTCTGTTCCAAAAAGCGCCTTGCGATGCAAGAACAGGTCTTCCAAAGTGTGTCCGTCTGCTATCCAACCGTGTCGCGCCTGAGATTTACCCCAATTGCCTGATGTTGAAATACATTAATTGCAAGTGTCGGGGGAAGATCTCGGTCACTGGAAGAAAGTGGGGGAACAACACAACTTTGATTTCTCACACAAGAACTGCGGATGCAACATCGGCATCATGCTATCGGACACGCCATGTTGCAAATGTACACACACTGAAGGGGACGTATATTCATCGGGGTTAAAAACCCAAGTTCATGGTGAGCAACAGAGTCAGGGTCCTTCCCTTGACATGCATGTTGTCACAACCTCCTATCATCCCGTATCCTATCCTCGTCTCCTCCTCTCCTCGTCTCCTCGTCTCCTCCTCGCCTCCCTCCATCTCGCTACATTTCTGAACAGGCTGCCACCAGACGGCAGGGACATTTTAGCAAACTTTGAGACTTTACTAGAAAACTTTGAGAAATTTGCTTCGAAACTTTGAGGCTTGGAATGTGAAACTTTGAGATTGATGATGTTGAATTAAAATTGATAATTTATATTTATGAATATTTCAAATCCAGGAGAAGTATTTGAAAGCTGCACCCTTCACCCAGTCTTTGACAGCCAGTACCCTACCCCCTCCCTCAGTAAAACCTAAGAATATGAGGAAAAGGACCCGGTGCTTTCCATTTGTGCTAAGAAATCTCAAAGTTGTTTGTTGAACATGCCAATAGGGTGGGTAGGGCATACTGACCTCTAGTAACAACGGGGTACTTTCAGAGCATTTAACACTACAAACAGGGGGTAATATCTGATTTGCAGGGTGGGGTAGTGTTTTGGTCCCGGGCCCCCTCACTTCCCAGTTCTTCAGCCTGCCGCTCCTCCCTCCTCCCCATCTCCTCCTCCCCGTCCCTCCTCCCCATCTCCTCCTCCCCGTCCCTCCTCCCCATCTCCTCCTCCCCGCCTCCCCCTCTCCATCCCCTTCGAACAAGCGAAAGCTATCCTCCCCCTCGCTCCGTCTCCTCTTCTCAGCCTCCTCTTGTCCATTCCCTTCGAACAAGTACAAGTCTTTCTTGCTTCCTTTCTCTCTGTTCTTTTGCAGAAGCCTTCTCGTCTTCCTGTCTTCAACCCTACAGTTGGAGCAGATATCTTGTCTTTTCCAAAGCAGGTGAAGTTTTTGTCTGTATTCCCTCTCCTCCTTGTACCTGTTCTTTGCATGATCCACAGTAGTTTACGTGATACAACGATCGTTTTCCCTGCTTGTGTTCGTTCTGTTCAAAGATGTTGTTCATTGACTCGTTCCGTTCTCAGCGTTTTCACTTGCACCGCAGACTCTTGCTCAACATTTTCTCCGAGCCAGCTGAGGTTTCAGAATGGACAACATCCTGACGGCCAGCGCCGCCAGCACAATCAATGGCAGTGACTGCGAGCAGACTAGCGGGAGCGAGAGGAAGCGCAGATTTGAGGATCTTAGCGCAGATCCTTGCGGTTGCGACGGCGGGAGAAAAGTGTGCAAAGCGGAGGATGCGGCAGAGGTGAGAACCTTCTCAGAGGAGGAGATCAAGGAGATCATCACAAAGATCATGGAGGGAGAGGAGGAGGATGCTCTGGATGCAACGCTGCCCTCGACTCAGCAGGCAGAATCAGCGAGGATGCTGGTCAGAGCGCTAGTCTCACTCATCCCCGAAAGAACCTCGCCTTCCAGCGTGTTGAGTGCGAAGGAGCTGTGCGACAGCTTCTTGTTCTACCACAAGATGGCGAGGTCAGGGCTGGGGGAGCGAGTGGTTGCGATCATGAGAGACGTGCTGGACGAGGCCGTGCAGGAGGCCGTGTGCGAGCTACTGGCTTCCATGCACCCGTCGAGTGGCATGGCTGAGCTGATGCGGGAGAGTGGCGGGCCGGAGAGAACAGTGCAAGCTCTGCGCAGGTTTGGCAAGAACGAGCGCGCTGTGGCGCCCGGAATGAAAGCGCTTGCGGTTCAGATGGAAGGATATGCGGTGGGAGAGTGCGGGGAGAGTCTGAGGGAGGAGATCAGCGGACTGGCCATGGAGGGGGTGCGAGGGTACCAGGAGCATGGAGGCATCTTTCAGTCTGCCTGCAAGCTCATCGAGTGGGTCGCCAGCGATCGGCAGGCGGCTCAGCGAATCTGTGATGAGGAGAACATTCTTGCCTTCATCTTGGGCGTTCGCCTCCACAAGAACGACCCGGAGGTCCTCCTGGCAGGGCTCAACGGACTCAGAGCTCTTGCTCGCGTCAGCCCCTTGCTTCGAAACATCGTGAGGCAGCAGCGCCTCAGCCTCGTTGATCTAGTGGTTGGGATGCTGGGAGGAAACTTGGCGATCAAGGAGGCAGCAGCCGAGTTGTTCTCCTTCGTGGTGCTTGACGGTGACCAAGTCAGTGACAACACCCCGGGCTCAGGAGGGCGAGGAAGCTCGGAGGATCTTTCAGCGGGCACGGCGGATCAGGAGAGTCTTGACACCGACACGTCAACGTCCAACCAGCTGGGGTTCGACTATGTGAGCATGATGCTAAGAGGAGCTGGGCCAGGAGGAGAGATGCAACTTCAAGGAGCAGGGAGCACCGGACGGTCGGGGGGGGAGGGAGCGAATGGCGAGGCTGTGAAGGATATTTGCGACAGGATCGTGCAAGAATCTCAGCGGCCTGACTCGACATGGTTGGAGAAGTGCGTGAAGCTTTCTGGAGTGCTGCAGAGAGAGGATGGAGCGATCGAGTACAGCGTGATAGACGAGACGGGGCTGGTGAGCCGATTGTGTGCGGTCATGGACGAGAATCCCAGATGCTTCGAGAGCACGGTCACCGTCATGCAGGTCTTGAAAGACGTTTGCAGCTGTAGCGGCTTCAACGGGCTGAGGCAGGAGGCAGTAAGAACTATCTTGAACCAGACCGCAAACTTCGATCATGGCGTTGAATCCCTCGGCGACGGGCTCCTTTGCATCGATAGCTGCCTCAAGTGCCCTCAGGGAGCTGAGATGTGCTCCATCCTGATAGAGGAGGAAGGGTTGAGCGTGCTGCCGATGGTTCTCAGGGAGCTGGAGAGGCATGCTTCCGCTAGGGATCTGGATACAACGAAGGCGTCGATTCTTGCGGTGCTGTGCGAGATATTCTACCACCAGCCTGAAGCAGCGGACGCGTTCCAGCCGTCCCACATCGATTGTGTGATGTGCTGCATCAGAAACAATCGGCAGAGCCTTGTCATCCTCAAGGAGGGCCTCGGAGTCCTCTCCTACCTCACTAGCTCCACGTCACAGGGTGTGGTCGACGAGCTGCAGGACCAGCTTGTCATCCAGGAAGTCTTGCTCGCCGTCGCGCAGTTCCGGGGGAACCAAGCTCTCGTGAGCGAGGGATTGCACTCCCTGGTCAACCTCGCCGACGCGGACCTGACCTGCTCCGAGCTCAGCGTCGAAGACATCCGCGCTCTGATCGCCATCGCCTCTTCTCATCGCGGCTCCCTGGAAATCCAGCAAAACCTCTGCATCCTCGTAAGCAACGCCGGCGCTGGAGAGCCAGTCAAGCAGGCGGCATGGCGGGAAGGGCTGGAATGTATCCTATCAGCGGCGAAGAGGCACTGCTATGACGAAGAGTTCTTCTTCGCTGCATGCACTGCGCTGGTTAACATCGGCCGGGATGACCCGGAGAGCTTGCAGGCCATGCGGCAGATGCGAGGACGAGACATCATCGCCCACGGGATGCAGAGTTTGAACCATCAAGATATCGAGAGACTTGGGAACGAGCTGCTTGAGATGCTTTCTGCCTGAACAGGTGCCCTTCGTGATTGCAAAACTCGCGTTGCGCAATTTTATTTGCATGCAAGATTCTTACGCCACCGCAGGTTTGAAATGCCCACCAGATCGCAAGATCCGGGAACAATTTACCAATCGACAATGATTGGGCAGAGGCAACAAAATTTAAGAAAGACGTGAGTGTGTTGAAGGTTGAGTAAAACAAGGTTGATGAAAACAAGAAAGACATTTAGAAATACATTGCAAGTCGTGAAGAAAACACTATCGCCGCTGGTCAACCCCTCTGCTCTATCCTCGCATCAACATCGGTGTCCTTGAGACTTTTGTTGAGTTGCGTTTTCCCGGTCCATAACATTCACCATGCCTGACCAATCTAAAACATTCGCACCGACTCCTAAAACATGCTATCCGAACGCACCATAACACGTCGTCGTCGTCATCACCTTCCGACTACCCATAAACGAGCCATTCGTACCTACTCCCCCCCATCCTAATCCTCACTCTTTCAATTTATTTCTCTACCTTGCGTCATAAATTCCTTGCATCCTCCGCTGCCTTCTTTAGCTCCCCGGTGACCTTCACTCGACACTCTGTCCCACTTGGCCTCCATCCATTTTGCACCATTTTCTTTCCTCCATGGGTTTCTCATCCACTTTGATGACTTTCTGCCTGTTTCATTGATCTGCAACGATCATCTCTGCGCTCACTTGTAACATTTCCTCTTCTACTTTGTCCTTTTACTATCCATTCCTCCCTTCACCAACTTACACCTTTCCTCCCGTTTCTCCCCTTTCGCCACTTGCTACTTGCCTTCCGACCCCCAACAACACCCCATCTCCCTTACCTCTCTCCTCGCCCCTTTCCCCACTGACCCATACTGCACCTCTCGATTTCACTATCCCCCTATTATCCCCCATTCCCTCCCTCCCTCCCCTCTGTTCCCCATTCTCTTCCTGTCCTCCCCCCCCATTCTCTCCCCCTCTCCTCTCCTTCACTCTCTCCCCTCCCCTCTCTCAAACCTCGCTCTTCTCCCTGCCTCCTTCGCACTCGTTCCCTGCCCATCGCGATTATCCCGTCGTTCCTTTGGACTTTCCCAAAAATCTTTTTTTGCTGTTTTTTTAAACCTACCCCTACCATCTCCATCAAAACAAGGGGTGGGTACCTGAAGAAAAGTTTCCTGCAACGAAAGGACGCGAGTCGCCCGAAGGATCCCCACCCTCAACATGAGGATATCTATTGATGTACCCCTGTTCATGAACCCCCCCACCACACCCAAAGGATAAGTACCCCTCTATTTCTGTGTATTTAGCAGGTCATTTTCCTTTCTTGATGCACCCCCTACCATCACAAATGAAGATGTACCCGTATGTGAAATCTTCTACCCCTGCTTCTCATAATTCTATTGCAACCCTCGACACTTCCGACCACCCCACAGACCCACAATTGTGACCCCTCCATCAACTCCATAACCCGTCTACTCCAGCTCTAATTGGTGGACGGAGGAGGGGTATTTGCTAAGTCCGATTATACCCCCTACCCCTACTTCGGATTCGCAGTCCTCTGCTTTACGCAGAAAGTTCTTTACAACATCCAGAAAGTCTTTACTACACAGCGGGTTGCTGGTCCCACCACCACCCCGGATTTTCTACCACCCACCCTCCCCCGAATCCAAGTGGACCCCCTACCCACCAAGCTCTCAAGACACCGCGATGTCTTAAAATTATCACCCCACCCCTGTCCACCTTTATGTCCCTACCCCTTGTTCTGTTTTCAGTCCATCCAGCACACAAAAACACCCTACCCCCTGCTCTAATTTTCACCCTCGAACAACTGCCTACCCACCTAGACTACCCTACCAATGCTGTCGACGCTCCTAATAAAAAACCCTTGAGCCCTTATATGCCACACCCCCACCCCACTATGGCCCATGCATATGTAAACACTAGGGGTACTTAACGGGTAATCCCGTACCCTTACCCTCCTTTTCAAATGAGAGTACCCCAAAACCCACCACCCTACCCTCTTCCTGACCACATATGCTATGCGAACGTGTCACGTCTCACCTTCCTTTAATACCCCCTATTTATCCCCATGCTGTACCCACCCCCATGTACATTTTGGAAACATTTTGCACTACCCTCGTGGGAAAATAGTACCCCATCTCACCTGACCACCGGTGTTCCCACTACCTACCACCCACCCAAATATGGACCCACCCCGTTACGTCACCCAGCTATCTCGATCCAGGATTTTGCAATGGGCATGAGCGCCGCTGCGGGTATGGGCGTGCGGGAGAGGAGGAAAGGCTGTTAATCGCCTCCTCCTCCTTGTTTCCCTTCTCTCTTCTCCTCAGTCCTGTCTTTGATCCCCGTCTATGCCAGTCTCTCTGCTCGCCTCCCCACCACACTACCTGACCTCTGAACTGTCTGTTGCCTTTGGATTCGAGCGGAACCTAGAGTGCAGGCCTTGTAAGGCATAGAGGATCGACACATCCCAACCATGTCATCGGCCCCTGCATCTAGCTCGGCGCCCATGGCCTACGGTGTCCTTCATGAGGTAAGGTCTTGCTGGCATTGGTTGCGCATGCATGACGTAGCCATGTACGCAGAGGGACGGAACGCACCAGGCTCCTGCACAACAGGAGGGGTGGACGCTGAAGAGGATTTTTGACACTCTGACATTCAGCTACCTCAATGAGCTGCTTGAACGAGGATACCAGCGGCCAGTACAGATGGATGACATGCCGAGGCTCCCCGAGGAGGACCTCGCCAACTTCGTGGGGTCAAGGCTGCACCAGGCATGGGAGCAGGAGAGCAAGAAGGCGGTTCCAAGTCTGTTCCGCGTGCTCCTCGATGAGTATGGCAGGGAGTTCTTCATAGGAAACCTGCTAAAAGTTCCTCAAGATGTCCTCATCTTCGCCGGGCCATACCTGCTGCAGAGGCTGGTGGAGTACCTGGACCCGCTATCGCCCATGGCGCAAGAGAGCACCTGGTTCACTGGGATATCGATAGTCATCGCCATCTTTTTCTCTCAGCTGGTACAGTCTCTCTTCCTGCACCAGTACTTCAACCGCGTCTTCCATGTCGCGATGCGAGTGCGCACCGGGCTCATGTGCCTGGTGTACCGCAAGGCCATCGGGCTGAGCCATGTGGCGAAGCTAGAGGAGGACTGCTCGACAGGGAGCATCGTGAACATGATGCAGGTCGATGTGCAGCGAATGTTGGACTTCATCCCATACGCTTCCAACCTGCTGTGGTCCAGCCCCTTCCAGATTTGTTTCTGCATCTTCCTGCTGTGGAGCAAGGTGGGGGTGGCGGCCCTGGCTGGCCTCGGGACGATGCTCGTTATCATGCCGATCAATCTGTGGTCGATGAAGGAGCTCGAGAAAGTTCAGAAGAGGAACATGAAGCACAAAGACGAGAGGGTGCGTGCGGTTTCGGAGCTCCTATCGGGCATCCGGGTGCTCAAGCTGTTTGCGTGGGAGGGCCCAGCCAGCGACAAGGTCCGGGAGGTGAGAGCGGAGGAAGTGAGTGCTCTCCGTCGCTTCGGAGTGCTAGGAGCGCTGCAGGTGAGCAGAGGTAGATCGTGAGGTGTTCTTGTGTGAGGAAAGCTTCCTCCCAGGGTGTGCTGTGGTCTTCCACTACTGCCTTCGTCGCGCTCGCCGTCTTTGGGACGTACACGGGGCTGGGGAACAGACTGTCGCTTGACGTCGCCTTCCCCGTGCTCTCTCTCATTATCATCCTGCAGTTTCCTCTCACAGTCCTGCCCTGGATGTGCATGTCCGCCGTATCCTTCTCCATCTCCCTCAAGCGTATCTCCAAGTTCCTCAAGGCACAATCGCTGCATGACGCGAGGAGGAAGCTGCGGAGCGAGGAGGAGGACGGGAGCTCCGATCCCGACCGCCTGTCCTTGCAGGTCAACAACGCGACGATGGAGTGGCTCCCCGATCGGGAGGTCCTAAGGGACATCAGCATCCGCCTGCGCGATGGCGCCCTGCTTGCCATCGTCGGCCCTGTGGGATGCGGGAAGAGCACGCTGTTGTCTGCCATCCTCGGAGAGCTTGGGATTAAGTCAGGGAGCATCTCGATCCTCGACGGGTCCATCGGTACGTGGAAACTGTGCGGAGGGATGGTTGGGAGGGGGAGAGGGGTTGGAGAGTCCAGGAGGGAGGGTGACTAAGAGAGGGGATGGAGGACACTACAGTGACGAGCGAAGAAGGGAATGGAAGATAAAGAAAGAGGGGGATGAAAGCGGGGAATAGGAGCGAGGAAGAGGTCGGGGAGCAACAGAGCTGACTTGAGGTTGGAAGGCTACGTTCCTCAGCAGCCTTGGGTTATCAACGCACCCTTGAGGGACAATGTGCTGATGGGGAAGGAGTTCGACGAAGGTTTGCATGTGCATGCGCGTGCTGGCTGCTGCTGGAAGACAGCTCGTTGATACGTCACCGCAGATCTGTACTACAGCGTGATCAGCGCGGCAGCGCTCGAGCAGGTGGGGGAGGAGAGAGGAAGGAGGGAGCAGGACATGAAGGTCGTTGGTATGAGGAGAAGGCCAGGAGGATGGAGAATGGAGGAGGAAAAAGAGGAGCACAGAAGAATGGAGCAGGAGGGGGGGGGGAGCAGGAGCAGTCTGCTCGCAGTCATGACGGTTCGCATCACAGGACCTCAATGTGCTTCCTGCCGGGGATGAGACGGAGATCGGAGAGCGAGGGATCAACCTGTCAGGAGGGCAGAAGCAGAGGGTCTGCCTGGCCCGAGCTCTCTACGCCTGCCCCTCCCTCTTCGTCCTCGACGACCCTCTCTCTGCTGTGGACTCCCACGTGGCTCAGGTCCCGATAGCTCACTCCTCCTTCCCGCCATTACCTCCTGTTTCTCGCTGCTCGGCTTGCATCCGTTGATGCTCCCCTGCCCCCCTGCCTCCCCGCTCTGCGCTGTGCTCCCTGGTTTTCTCCATCCTCCTCATCATTACTCCCTGCCTTGCCCCACATCTTTTTCTGCCTCTTCCTCGTCCTCTCCGCTCTCCTGACATTCTTCCCAGCACATCTTTGACAACTGCATCGTCGGTCTCATGGCAAAGAGAAGCCGCATCCTCGTTACCCACAGGTAGGAGAACTCTACCACCTCCCTTCCGTCTTTTCTCTCCTCCCTCGGTCTCCTCCTTGTCCTCCCTTCTGCTCCTTCCCTTCAACTTCTTCTTATCCCTTGTCCCGATCTCTCTCCCTCCCTCTGTCCCGATCCCTCTCCCTCTCTCTACAACCACCCCGCGCACAACTTTCGCATCTACATGCTTCTCTCTTCCTCCCTTGCGTTTTCAGACCTCCTTGTCCACTTCCAGACACATTCTTCCTCTCCTTCGCTTCCCCTGCCCTCCTTCCTTACCTCCTCCTCCCTCCTTCTTGCCACACCAACCTCTTCTTTCTCTTCTCCTCCCTCTCCTCCTTCTTCTACTCCTCCCTCGGCCCTCTCACCTCCTCTCTCTCTCCTCCCTCACTCCCCCCTCTCCTCCTCAGTCATCTTCCTCTCATCCTGAAGCATCTCGCAGGGTGGATCTCATCCGGGCAGCTCCTTACATCATTGCTCTCGGCCAAGGCCGCATCCTGGCCCAAGGAACTTACGAGCAGCTCGTGGCGCAGGGTGTAGATCTCGGGCTCGAGGCTGAGATCAAGGAGGAAGAGGAGGAAGAGGAGAAGGAGGAGAAGGAGGAGGCCAAGAAGAAGTCCGCTGAGGAGAGGGTGCAGGCCCTCAAGGCAGGTTCGAGCTCGCAGAACTTGAAGGAGGGGAAGGGGAAGGGGTCCTTGATGGAGGAGGAGGAGCGAGCGAGTGGGGTAGTCAAGGCCGAGACGTACAAGATCTACCTGAGGTCCATCGGGGTAGACATGCTTGCCCTGATCGTGTGCTCTGGCGTCGTCGGGGAGCTCGCGCACGTGCTGACAGGATGGTGGATCTCCCATTGGGCCTCGCAGGAATCGGAGGTGCCAGTGGTGGAGGAGGACGGGGCTGCTGCTGCTGCTGCTGCCTCACAGGACCCGGAGAACACGTTCTACCTCCTCGTCTACATCCTCTTCGCGCTCAGTCAGGCTGGGACTATCTTCATCAGGGACGTCTTCCTTGCACTGGGGGGCCTTCGCGCCTCCACCCGCCTGCACAATGCCATGCTCGCGTCCGTCATTAGGGCGCCGATGCAGTTCTTTGACACGACCCCGCTGGGGAGGATCCTGAATCGGTTCAGCAAGGATCAGGACACGGCGGATGGGGCCCTGCCCAAGTCCATCGACGAGCTGTACTCTTGCTTCCTTGCGGTCCTCGGACCCCTCTGTCTCATGGTGTCTGTGACCCCCTGGGCGATCCTGGGGGTCCTTCCGGTCATCTACGTCTACATCTCCATCTTCAACTTCTTCCGCAGGACGTCGAGGGAGATCAAGAGGCTGGAGGCGAACACCCGCTCCCCCATCTACGCGCACTTCACCGAGTCCCTCAACGGCTCCCACTGCCTCCGTGCGTTCCAGCTCGTCTCCAGCTTCGAGAGGCAGAGCGAGGAGAGGATCGACCACTTGAACCGCGTCTTCTGGCCCATGGTCTCCTGCAACCGCTGGCTCGGCCTCCGCCTTGAACTTTGCGGCAACATGCTCATCTCCTGCTCCGCCCTGGCTGCGGTGGTTGCGCGTGTGCTGGGGCTGGTGGACCACACGTACGCGTCCCTGCTGGGCCTGTCGGTGACGTACGCGCTGGGCATCACCAACGAGCTGGGGTGGATGGTGAGGCAGACGACGGAGGCAGAGGCGAACATGAACAGCGTGGAGCGGGTGGAGCGATACGCGTGCCTAGAGCCAGAGGCTGACCTGAACGCGCCGGAGGATGTGTCAGCGGGGCAGGTGATGGCGAGGACTGGAGGGGGAGAGGGAGGAGGAGAAGAGGGGCGGGGTAGAGCCAGGAGGAGGAGGAGGAAGGGGAACGAGGGGATGGAGCTAGATGTGGTTGTATGGGATAGCAAGAAGAACAGTTGTAATGCTGAAGCAAGGATCGGAATTGAGTTGGTCGCTGCCTCCCTGCTGATGTTTTCTCAACCAGGCATGGCCAGCGAATGGTGAGGTCGTCTTTGAGAATGTCTACATGAGGTGAGTGGAATAAGACGGGAACAAGACGGGAACAAGCAAGAGAGGAGACAAGGACAGGGCAGGGAAGGGACAGGGGTGTGAGGAGGAGAGGAGCGATGGTGGAGAAGAGGAGAGAGAGGGGCAGTGGAAGAGAGCAGGAGCAGGAATGAGTAGCTTCCTGGTTCATTTCTGCCTGTCTGCAGTTGTGTGACTCTGATCTTGTCAGGTATCGCCCGACTACTCCTCTCGTTCTCAAGGGATTGAGCATGAAAATCTCTCCCGGGCAAAGGGTAAGTTTACTCTCCCCCTCTCCATCCTCTCCTCCTCCACCACCACCTCCTCCATCCCTCTCCCCTCCTTCGCCGGCTCACCTCGAACGTCTCAGGTTGGGATCTGCGGGAGGACAGGAGCAGGCAAGTCATCGCTAATCTCTGCTCTCTTCCGCCTTGTTGAGCTCAGTGGAGGTACGAGGAAGAGGAGGGAAACAAGAGAGAGGAAGGAG